TTTTTTTTGCTAATTACGTATTCGCTCGAACTTTGTTAAAACTTTAACTGCATACCGAACAACAACCGAAGTTGTAGAAGGAAATTTGCCTATTTTACCGATCTAGGTATCCTCCCTTTTCCAAATTTTAATATCGACTCAAAATAAATTAAACCGTTTTATTGTAATTTGTCTTTTTATTATCCAACTATCAGAAATTTCACAACACGCCAAGGAAGAGAGGAAGGAGCAATTAAACAATTAAAATTATAAAGGATTAAAATATATATATAAATGGGGAATATCGCGCTTCTGACAATCGCTGCAAGTGTATGGGTTAAATTTGGAGAATCCGTGCTTCTCGCATGGACAACTGTATGTGGCCGGCTCACGTGTAGGAAAACCTGATTTATTCTTGTACGCACCAGACGGGAAAAAAATATCGTATATCCACAAACACTTCAATAAATAAATAGAATTGAAACGACACTTTGAAATGTTTTCCCGATGAAAATGAATAATAATAAGTTTCAATAAAAATGATAAAATGTAAATTTAATCATAACGAGTTTGCTTGAATTTCGTTTCTTCTGAGATCGCAGCAATGCGCGACGGGTAAGCTAGTTTTTTATAAATAATTGTAAGCAGATTATGCTACTGCGGAATCTGCAATGTAACCTATGTTACGAAATAAAAAGATTTGTGTGTGTGTGTCGCTAGTCGAACGTCGTGCTGTTCGCACAGGCAGTCCGCTCGAGAAGAACCTGGCTATTGCACGCGATCATAAAACTGATGTAACTACGCGGTAAGTCACAAACACCAACAAACAAAATGGAAGTTTTGGTTAGAAATAAACACTTTTTCTTGCCATACATCTAATAATAGACAGATGTCTTTTTTATTTCTGTCGATAGCCCGACACGTGTTCCGCAGCCATCTTGTATTTTCTCGCGCGCGTGGGATTGTGGGATCTCTCATGACTGGATCTAGTTTCGAGAACTCTCTGCAGTCGATCGCGATTGAACGTCGTTTCAGTCGAGAGCGTTCGCACCACGGAACACTCTCCGACCTTAGTCACAATCTAGATCGAAATGTTCGGTGTGAACGGGGTATTAGTTTAATGCTAACCACCTTGTACTGTACTTATATCGAAGTTTTATCTACAAATCTTCATCTTCCTCTCGTTTACTTCATTCTGTTATAATTAAGAAAATACTGTTCGGAAATGAAAAAAAACACGATTGCTTATGTGGAAAATTAAATACTTATATCCTTATTGGAGACTTTTACAAGTTACCACTTTCCATTCCAGGCAGGCAAGTACTATATGCTATATTTGTCGAATATAGCTAAAAAGTGATTTATAGAAATCCAATCGATATTTTGGGGTAGAATGTACTGTATTATCTAAATTAGAAGAATGTGAATGTAAACTATCATGTTTCCTAGCAATTAGTCGAACGGCCTAGGAGTGTATTGCGGACAAACAAATACATATATAAATGAAAATGTTTAAGTAAGTAACCATCTTGAACAATTTTTGATTGATTTGGAAGGAATTAATCAAAGAGGTGAAGGAATCCTATTTATTCTCCCTCCTACTTTTACAAGTATTTAAATTTTTCAATATATTAAATCTATTCTTATATTAAAAATCCCTGAATATAAACTTATTTTAACCATTGTTTGTGCTGCTCATCCTTAGAGAATGTTTGTTTTTCAAATTCCTCACCGTTTTTAATCCTTAAGGGTATTATTACTTGGAATTCCTCGGGCCCACTTCATAGCGATATTCATCCTGCTAAAGTTTATTTTATAAATTTATCCCAGTTAGTGTTTTTCCATCAACGAAGAACTCTTACCTCAACCCAATATTCATTAGCAACTGCACTTCTATTGCCTACAAGACCCATTGTTTTCCTGTCGGATCACTTACCTATTTGCCTGGAAGTTTCTCCCTATATAAATTCTGTCAAAACAGAGTTTCTTTACTATATTTTTAGTCTAAAATTAACTGGAAAAAGTCGCCACCCACCTGTTCCATCAATTGGTCTTACCTTGATTCTAATGATATCTCCATTAATGCAATATCCGTTATTACTTATAATCTTTTAAACACAAATTTTTGCAGAGTTTTCGCTGTCCATTGAGAAAAATCTAAGCTTCAAACAATTCCAGTTTCTTTATTAGAAATACAACTAACAATATTAATATTTCATTTGTTTATTTAATAATGTAACGTAATATTAATTTCAATATATAAAATGAAGTCTAGTAACGAGTTTCATAACGTTACGACATTTTACTTATGATTATCTAATAATATAAAAGTTATATTCTAACAATCTCATAATAAATTAGTTCTTGTTTGTTATAAAAGGTTTATATATTTTTAATTATTATAAAATGGAAAAAGACTAACATTCAGAGGCAATTTCGCTATGTATGGTTGTTATTGTGTGTGGGGCGGGCACAATTTTATTGGCCCTGTTTGAAGCTTAATAACTTCTGTGCTTTTTGTCGAAAATTTCTGATTTGATGCTATTACATTTTGGTGTTTAAAGGTGGATGGGCTGGAGAAATAAAGGGGTCCTGTGTATTTCCAGTAGAGTCAAACTTAATTACTATTTCACTTGTTATTAGCATTTATAATTTTTTATTATACTCATCCCTACCTTCAAAATTAAACTTTATTTTATTTAAAAAAAAACCTTTTTAGGCCTACTAGCAGATAAGAATTGCAGGCGAGAGATGATGTCAGACACACGCACACCAAGTGTCCTCACAATCGCATGAATTGTATTCTGCTGGGCTATATAGTATCAATCAATGGTTACGTCTGACCGCAGTCTAGTTTTATTTGTTTTTGCTCTTTTCTGCCTTGTGTACACTAAAAGGATCTTTTATATTTAATGATGTCATGGATTTGGCCGGGTCTGCAATGGGTGGCCAGGTTTTCTAACTGTACATATATGCACAGCCATTGCTTGGCTGTGGGTGCATAAATTTTTGGTACATGAATGGCAGTATGAAATCCAGTGTGGTCTCTGTGCTGTCCAGATCTCAAGTGATGGCAGAAAGGGGTTTGACTGAAAAGGAGTCAAAATTTTTGTCTGATCCTTTCCCTCCCCTTGCCAGCTAGTGGTTCTGTTGCAGACCATGGATATACTTACAATGGGAATGACTAAAGACCATCGTAGCACCCACACAGATTTATCAATGACAGAACTTAAATTTATATAATTTAATTTGAATACTGTCAGTCACAGAAAAAAACATAATTAGGAATCATAAACAGGTATGTTATAAGAATAAAATAGCTGTTTACTTAATGGAGAAACATTTTTGGACCTTTATTTGGACAAACTTCGACTTGCAGTGTTCGCGTGGCCTTCGGGAACATTGCAATTATTCTGTGTTCTGTTAATGCAAACCGAAGTTGGTACAAATAAAGATCAAATATATTTATGTGTTAAACTTTGTTTTCCTTAAATAGTTGTATTTTATTCTTACAATGTATGAAGTGATACCGAGCTTTACAGAAATTTCCGATAACTAATTATTTTAAAGAAATGTAACCGGGGAATTAAGTTTAGAGGACACCATTTTTGATCATTGGTAATTTTAATAATCCATCATCCCATCAAAAATTTTAACATTCTAGATGTTTTTATATAAATTCTTAGTAAGGAACTGAAAATAATGGCACTATGCGATCACAATCGATATATTGTCAAGATCCCGCGATACAACAAGTGGCACGATTACAGAATTCATTCGATTACTGGCCGAGTAATACTTAAGTGACTTTTAAAAATGACTAAATTAGATTTTAAAATACTTCGAGATTTCGGGAGACAAAATTTTCATAAAATTTGAAATGGGAAAATAGTTTATGATATCTTCTAATTTGCTCTCCAAACTTCATAAAACACCCAGCTGATTAGAAGTTAAGAATGTAAGAAAAAATATATTTAATTATTGTAATTAGAAAATGCGAAAAAAAAGGATACTTCTCCATAAATGATGGTACATAAGCACTGTGATTTTTAAACTGTACTTTATATGGAAGACTTTTTAACAATTCTTCGTATTTTGTTAATGCTTCTTTACACACGTCGCCAATTGCCTAAATGAAGAATGAAATGAAACTTCTTAATACAATGGGAATATAATATGTACTTTTAAGTCCTGGACAGTTTTCAAACATATATTACATGAAATATTTAATTTGTGTTTTGTTAGTTTCTTTCAAATGCAACAATATGTTTTACTGGCAAATGGTGTTTTTTGATGGCATTAGAAGAAAGAAAATATGACACCCATTTCAATTTGCATCTGGTATAAATACATTATAGCAATATATATGGTGGGAATGCCCCACCCCTATTATCCTCCTGTATCAAATAATTTAAAAATATAGAAAGATTTATTTAAATAATTAAAATATCATTTTGCTGCAGACCTACAAACTGTAAAGACTGCATCATCCATAACATCATAATGGTAACATTTTTCAATGGCTACCAATTTTACAGTATGAAATACTGAATATTCCACGACAACTCTGTGCTGTATCAATGTGGCAAATGAAACAGTGTTTCCCTTCTCAATGCTATCAAGAACTGCAGGAATATTATGGGCACAAGAATTGTTTTGCAGTTTCATCACTGTAGGTACTCGAGTCCACAAATAAATATTTTAGTAACTAAGACCGTTGTTTTTATCGCCCTCTCTTGACCCATTCTTGCCAATCTCCAAGCAATGCCAAGCAGGCACAGGTAATTTTACTATAATATGCATTTTTACATAATAAAATTATTTAAAAAAACTGTTCAGGACTAAACGGACATTCTGTATATTACATTACTTACATGATTTAAGTATCTGCCATTGGGTTGCAACAATTCAAATGCCATACTAACAATAGTATGAATAAACTGCCACAATTCTCCTGTTTGTAAACATAAAAGGTTAGTTTTTTAAAATTGGTGTTTTTTACTAATCAAAACAATTTATACCTTGTGGCGATGTAGCAATAGGAATATCTGTGAGATCATTAATAACGTAATCAAATTTCTTTCCCTTCTGTTTGTACTCTCGCATAATTTTGATACAGTCGTCAACAATAACCTAGAAAGAAATTAATGTATAGTTTCCATCTCAGTACAAAATTGAATGGCAAGTTTTTCAATACCTTGATTTATGTCAACGAACCAAACTATACCTCATAATTTTCACCTTTCAATTGATCAAGGGCATCACCACATGCACCACGTAAATATTTTTTACATGCATCTATCACAACTTTATCAATGTGGAAAATATTAAGGAACATAAAACAATTAATTTAAGATTAAAAAAGAAGCAGAGAGATAGAGAGAAAGGATATATCAACCATGGTTATAAATTTTGGTTTCTCTTTCAGAAGCTCATACAGAAGACCACCATCTCCACCACCAAGGATTAATATTTCCTTGTTACAGTAAGACAAATCACCACGTTTCATAAGACCGTGAGTATAGTTTATATCGCACTCGCCTAAATCTAAAATATGCAAGAAAAAATTTTGTTTTACTATATATAAATTCTGATGAAACTTAATAGTTTCTTTAATGTTTAATAAAAATGTTTTCTTACTCACTTTGCAAATCATCAAGAATCAAGCAATTTCCTAATGTCGGGGAATGAAGAATCTGGACACGTTGGTAGGGTGATATGGCATCAAACACCACTTGGTCGAAATCATATTCTAAAATACGTTCATCGGACGAGGTAAGGTATAATGGAATTCTACTTCCTCGCTTTAGCGGTGGTATCCTGACAAAGAAAGATGGACTGAACCTGTCGTGACCATGTTTGCATTCCGTGGAGAAGGGAAACCGTGGTCGCATTCCGAGGTGAAGGGGAAACATTGGGAAAAGGAAACAATAAATAAGCAAAAATAAAGGGATAACAATTGAAAAGCATAAATATTGAAACTTGTATAATATAGAAATTACACTTTTCTTATTTCATTTCCAAGAAGTGTTTATTAATACATTAAGTTTAAAGTTTTTAATTTGAAATAGATAATAGATTAATATGATTCAATTTATAATCTGAATTTGCATTGCATATTTAGAAATATAATGACTAAAGTACTGTATGTCACATAGTTCCAGCATTGACCAATTTCAAATAAAATTTATTTAAAAAACAATTAATTAATTCATTATTTTTTCAATTACACAAGTTTCAATTTATGCAAACCAAATTATATGATGCAAAATCAGGATATAACAAAAATTACATTTATGCAAAACAAAAATATATTAAATTGCTGCACTAATATATCTGAGTGTAACATATAACTTAGCACAAATTTTGATAATAGTAATATAACCTAAATGAAGTTTTCTTATAATTTTTTAAAGTAAAAGAAATGGCATGAATTAATTTATGAAAAAGTTAACTGTTATAAGAAGTTTTCTTCTATTATTACACAAAAAATAATTGTCATTAAATATAAGATACGCAAATTATTTATTTCAACCAAAAAAGCCGATCTGGTTAAGAGAAAATTAAGTCACGCTGCATTTTTTTTTCCATAAAAATCCAGTAATTAGTGGAAAAGCAGTTAAGATAAAAAAATAAAATCAAAGTTTTCATAATTGTAGTTTGAATTACACTGTTATTCAGCCAGTTTGTCATTATAGGCAAGTTCCAAAGTGATTACAATAAGCAGATTCTACTGTATACACAAAATTTTCAAATCTAAAATGCTATCTTCAGTACTAGAGTAATAATAGTATACTAATGGTGCTCACAAATTATACCAAAAGGATTTATAACGATTATATTTATGAATGAAAATGCTAGAAATGAAATATTGATATGAACCAATTCAAATTCCTTCACAAGATAGTAAATGGAATCTATTATTCATTATATACTAATGTAAGACAGTTTTCTTATAAAATAAAGTTTTAAATCTTTCATAAAAAGTATACAATTAGTTTTGAACAGTTATTATTACTGTATTCAGAAAAGTTATTATAGATAATCTGATTTAAAAATCATTGGTTAATTTAGACTCCAAGATTTTAGAACTATTTACAATGTAATATTTCAGACATTAATGTAGTGTGTGTGTGTGTGTGTGTGTGTGTGTGTGTGTGTGAAATTTTTTGAAAATTTTTAAGAATTGTATAAGCTTTATTAAAAATATTTACTACAGATATGCAAAACACAATTAAAAAAAATAAATAAATATATATCCTGACTTAGAAAACAGCAGCAACTGTAACTAACTAAATAAAGGATTACAACATGCTATTATAAAGCATTCACAAAAACTCTGGATAATCTTTGGGAAGAGGATAAAGAAAATTGTGCAGAACGTGCTTAATATTGAAAACCATGCAGTCCAGTTAAAAATTTTCAGATTTTATACTCACCACTTACCTTCATTTATTTAAAATCGCCTTAATACTTTAAAGAAAATGTGATTTTTAAAAGCCTTTTTTTAATTGGTACAATAAAAGTAATCCCCCAGGGTAAACTTTTATCATATTACAAAATGCAATGATAGTCTAATTTGCTAGTCTAATCTGAATGAAATTTTTTAATAAACTAGAAACAAACTCACTTTTCGACTTGACTCTCCAAAAGTTCTTGTAGCTTTTTCCGAAGTCCTTCAAATTTCTGGACGGAAAATTATCTCCATTATAATCTACATACCGTATTTAAATAACAAATTAAAAAAAAAAAGCATACAATGTCATTAAATATAACAGCATCTTGATCTCCTTCCACTGTTAAACTAATCAATCCACGCTTATATGTTTTTAGGGTACAGGTAACACTAACGTAATGAAAAAGAAAATAAGTAAAAATGATCTAATTAAAACATTACTATAGCAAACACACTTACCAATTATCGCTTGCTCCAAAAACGACAAATGATTCTTTACCGCTATCAAGAAAAATTTCTTGTAATCTTTTCAGGGAGTAAGTTTTAAGGATTTCTTCAATACTTTGGATAACAGATGATCTTTGTGCTAAGTATTTTGTGTAAGTATAAACATTGTTTAATGTTTTTTAAATGATGCAAAAAAAATTATTAATAATAAAATGAAATAATGCAGTGGATACCTGAAGTAGACATTAAGGAGGAGTCCACGTGTATATCCAGCATTGCAGTCTTGACAGACATCGTGATTGTGATATAGAGTCAGCCTCCGCAAACAAATCACCTAAAGCAAATCAAAAAAAAAAAAATATCCTTTTATTTAGGGGCAAAAAGTCTGAAATTATAATATACCAAAGAATGAAAATTTTAAATGAGAAAAAGATAAATCTAAATCCAAATGAAAAATACATTATTTACATAAAGAGCTATTTTAAAACTTCATTTACTTTAACATACTATATCTACTTATAACTTTCTCTGAGACAAGACAGACTATCCACTGAAATAAAAGAAATACACACGTGCATATATAGTGCTTTCCAATTCAGCAATCAAATATTAATTGATTATATTTTGGAATAAATTTAGCAAATTTTATTTTATGTCAAAGTTATAAATATAGATAATAGGATTATTACCAAATATGTATCGTAACAATTGAAATTTCTTTGTAATTAAGTAAGTCAACAAAATACATAAATATAATATCTAATTGCTCATTTTTCCACAAAAAAGAAATACAAAGTATTTGTGAAATGACTTTGTATTTTATACAAAAAGTCATTTCACAATGACTTTGTATAAAATACAAAGTCATGAAAAAATACATCTTACTTGTCAACAGAAGGTTTATTTTTTCTTCTTCTTTGCTAAAAATATTTACATTTTCATTAAAAATATATACTGTATATCTGCGAAGATAAGATGATAGTTGAATCATAAAAAAAGACACTCAAAATTCAAGGTCATCTTACAGGACAGATACAAAAAAAATTAGGTTGAAATTTATATAAATTAAAACCATTATAAAAAAACCGACAAACTGTAATTATTTACTAGTAGAGTAGTGTATGTCCACAAAATAGAAAGTCTATACAATGTTTTGTGAATAGTCAAGGTCATTACCCGAATGCCCAAATCAGTGCAAATGTTTGCAATAATNTTCCAGTAAGAGAAAAACAACAGTTCTCAGTGGGGTGTCCAAACACCCCACAGTATTAATTACGTTTTTTTTTAAATTTTACAAATATTTATTTAGTTTTTTTATTTTTAAAATAACTATAATGTGACCACATTTATTATTTATAATATACATATAATAATCAATGTAAATAAAAATAATTTAAGTTTATTTTAATTCAAAATGGCTGCCTTTCATAAACACACTGAGAAAATACCAAACATAGCAAGCTGCTTGTCATTTGCATTGAGTGCAAAGTACAATGTTAGCTATTGAATCAGAGTGACAAAAATTCTTAAAAAACAATTTAGATTTTTATTATTGGTTTAATAATAAGATCTAATGTAATGAGTTTTGATAAATCCATGAAAATAAAAAACAACATTTATGTACTAATATAATATGTAATCATACCTGAATATAATCATATGTATACTGTAATGACACATGCCTTTACCAAATAAATGAGTAAATCTTTATGAATTTTTACTTACATGGTTTATGGATCCAAAAAAATGTCGGGGTGGACAAACACCCCACTGCACTAATGCCGAAAAAAAACTCAGTGCACTAACGCAGGGTTTTAATAGTAGTAACTGAAGCTTTCCATTTTAAAATGTTTGAAATAAAACTGAATGCTATAACTGCTTTATATACAAAACTACTTGGATTTATATACACATACACACAATACAAAAACTGCTTTATCATGCTTTGTAATTCTTTAAGTAAACATAAAATAAATAAATATATGTCTATTCTTGTAATGCTTTAAGTAAACATTTAATAAGTTGATATACTACTAAACATAAGATTTTACTGCCATAAAAAGAGATTTTTAAAATAAAATTTATTACAATATTTTAGTATATACAAAACTTATATGTAGGCTATATTTTACAAGAGAAAAAAGGAAAACAAAATTCTTTAAACCTCATTTCTTTTTTAAACTGGAATATTTTTAAAAGCTTAAAAATATTACTTAAAATTTTTTCTTCACTATTTATCCATTAATTGTGTGTACAATTTTTTAGCAACTTTTGATCTCTTCCCTACCTGTCGTGTACAGTACTTTGGCAACCTTCTTTAACTACATATATGACAGTTTGCAAACCTAACATTGAAGGAATTACTTAAAAAGCTCTACAATTATTCTCTAGCATGGTTTATTCAAGTGACTAGTAAGCAGGCTTATAAGAATAAATCTGTATGTCAATAATAGTGCTAAAAACAGTCCATGTACACAATGACTCGACCCTCTGCTTCCTCGTCATGTAGTGATGTACTTTTTGCATCCTTTCCCTACTGTCAAGTTTCCCTTTTATAAAAAAACTTTACTTTGTGACAATTACTTATTATCAAAGCAAATTAAAAATCAACACTGGAGTGAAGTTATTTACATACCTCAAAGCCTGTTATCAGTGTGAAACTCAAATAACAACAAAAAAAAAACACAATTGTTGTTGAGGCTAGATCTTTAGATATAAATGACCTCCAACCACCTTAGATGTTCTGTGTGGTGAGGTGAGGATGACTCTCGCCTGGTTAAAATCCAGCTCTAATGTCTGGATCACTGGCGTAAATGGCAAGACAGTGGCGTTCCTCACGTGCTGTATGTCAGTAATGTGCTCTTTCATTCTAACCCCTAAGCACTTCATAGATCTGACATAGATGAGGTCTATCGCATCTGTGATCCGTAATTAGGATGATGTACACTCCAGGAAGTCTGTCCTGGTTGGGAACGTCCTTTCCATTAAGAAGGATGTCAAATACGCTTGGACATCTGTATACAATGAAAATGTGGCACTTCTTAGCTATCTTAATATATAGTAATTTGAGATATGAGTTGTAAGTGACGGATCCTTTTTTCATCATCGGGTCAGTCTTCTCCATGGGAGTGGACTTGGACTGCATGTTGGGAGCAATGAAATCTGTTGATCAATTTACGGGTGAGCTTGGGGTGCCATGGTCAGTGACTATGCAATAAGTACATCTCAGTTCAGTATGGAGAGCTTGTTGAGTGGACGAGAAAGTGTGTGCTCCCCTAATTAAGGTGTTGTAGGCTGCAATTTTATACTGATGTCACAAGACACCACAGGTATGTATATGGACTCTGATACCGGTTTACAGGTGTGGATTGCCGACCCCTCAATTCTAATGTTAATGTTGAGGAAATGGACCTCTGTAAGGTATGCTTGATTGATTTCCAGGGTCAAGCCATACAGGTTGTCGTTAATGGAGTCGACAAAGGCTGAGATGTCTGGAGTTGTCCTCCATAGAATGATTGTCATCTATGTGTACCTCCTATATCACATGATGTTGGGGAGGTGGTGAGGGAGGATCTTGCACTCTAGTTGTCTTATCACCATCTCACATAATTTTCCTGAGAGGGGGCTTCCCATTGGGACTCCTCTTCCTTGTGTGTACAGTATACTGTACTGTTGAATTGGAAAATGAACTGTAGCATAATAGATGTGCCATCTCTAAAACTTGCTGGTGTAAGCTGTCATCATTTACAATGTTGACTAGGAGATCTCTGAGGGCACAAAAGGTAGGCAGGAGTTGAATCAAAGAGTATAAGGACTTAAATCATACTCTACAAAGCATTCCTTAGGGGTTAGAATGAAAGAGCACATCACTGATATACAGCACATGAGGAACACCACTGCTCTTGCCATTTATGCCAGTGATCCAGACAGAGCCAGATTTTAACCAGGTGAAAGTCATCCTCACCTCACCATACACAGAACATCTAAGAAGGTTGGAGGTCATTTATATCTACAGATCTAGCCTCAACAACATTTGTATCAACCACAAGGAGGAATTAACTCTGTCCACAACGTGGCAAGTGCTAATGGACAACCACCTATAAATCTCATCAATTGCTACCAGCTAGTGTGCGCATGCCAGGTGGGACGTCATCAAGAAACACGTATTTGAATTTCAAATCTTGTTCTTATTTAATTGCATTCTATCAGAAATTCACCTTCACCTGAAGAAGAACCATTTATGGTTCTAATACATTTGTGAAGAACTGTTTTTTGTTGTTATTTGAGTTTCACATCAGTAGCAGGCTTTGAGGTATGTAAATAAAGCAAATTAAAATAATTTTTTAAAGTAAAATATTTAATAGCTATTTAAATTAATTAAAGTTCTAAAAATAAAATTATTTATAATTTTAAATTTTTTCAAAACTGATTGCTACAACATTAGAAAATTGCATTACTTATTATAAACAACTAAAATAACAGTTTATAGACTTTTTATGTAACAATTTTTCTGGATTTTGTCGTCCATATTGGGCCTGGTCCGAATTGTATAAACAGGGTTCCATTGTATATATAAATTTTTATTTTCAATTTCTTCATCAAAAAATATAAAAATAGTACATGATTTAATTTATCAAAACATATGGCTTAATTTGGAATGGTAATGTTTGATTTGACTTTTATCCTAGATATATTGCAGTCAGAAATGCTGAAAAATATTTAGTTAATAAAATTAAAGCCAGGTGATCTGTCAAATTATCAGGCTACAATTAGGCTGTTAATAATTAAATACAAAGATACATAATAATACAAAGATATATAATAAAATTTGGGTTTATCAAAATTATTTCAATAACAAATTAGGTTTCAGTAGAAAAATAGTTGTATAATGCCAAATCATGGCCCTGATTCAGCATTATTAAATTTAACTATAGTAGTAGTTGACTTAAAAAAGGTAGTATTTTTTATGGGCCTCTTGCATCCTTAAATTTATCTGCTATCCTGTTTGGCAGCCATAATAGCAGATACAGAATGGTCATCTTAGTTTTCTTCTGATAAATATATTTAGTCAAACATTTGCTTTAAATCTATTGTCAATTCAAAAGAAAAATTTTTTCTTTTTCAAAACAGAATGTTCCAAAATAAACAATTACTAGACCAGATTAGCTTAGCCAAGTATCCCAACAACTGTATTTAGTAACTAAAATTTGTTAACTTCAATTCTAAGCAAATTATATAAAACCTTATTATACATATTACATAAACTTTGTTGAAAAAAATATATGTACTTAGAAGACATATATGAATATATTTTTGTCTTCTATCAATTATTCTTATCAATCTATTAAATATTTGTAAACATCCTCTCAGAGATATACAGTATATATTACAAATTATGCTGATGTATCATATAATGAATATACACTACTGCAAGATAGTCATGTATCATGCCAGTGCATTAGGATACCGGATATGAGATTTTTAAAGTTCTTACTAATATTCTTTAAATAAATAAATTTAATTTTCATTCTGTCTAAATACAGTTTGAGCAGCGCTGCTCAAACTGTGGTCCACAAACCAGTACTGACCTCTAACAGTTTATTACTGGGCTGTGATGAAAAATTTCACTTAAAATTAATAAAATGATTTTTTATATTACATTTCATAAATTTAAAAGTCTTAAAGTTAAACCAAAGTAACACGTGTTTATTATTTAAGTACTTAGTGGACTGATGATCAGAAACAAACCTAGAAAAATACTTGAAAATGGCCCACAAATCCATTTTCCAAAATGATTAGTAAGAAAAATAACAAAGTTTGGTTCTAATCCAGTTTAAAAATTTTAAAAAAATGCATTCAAACTCTTTTCTCCATTATATAGTTATTTTTATTTAATTCCAGTGGTGCATTACAGCTTCATAAGGCCTACGGAAATCTGAACTCGGGTGCCCCACATATGGTATCGGCTTCAGACATTTTGCTTTGGGGAATTTTTTCTTATAAAAGATGAGTTTGGGCTCCCTGCAGATGGAGACCTCGGCCAATTGCACTTTTTGCCGAAAGGATAACACGCCACCATTTTAATTTCACAAAAATACCGATCAAAAAAGGGATTAAAAAGAAAACCTGGTCCTCAAACAACATTTGAAAAGCACGACCAAAACAGTCCCGAGTCAAAAGGCCACGAGGACGCACCTCCCGTTATTTAAAAAAAATTCCTCAAAAAGCCCAACGTAAAATAGATTGCCACCAGAGTTAATTTACGAGTTTCATGTCTTTAAAATCTTTCTTCTATGCTGAGTTAAGTGCTGGCCAGTAGTCAAAATTACATTAAAAAAAAAAAAAAAATGTAACAAATTTCTAAAATTGGCATTGTTTCATACTATTTTCTATTGTTTATTTTAACAATTACAAAACTGTGTGTCGAGTCTCAGGTCAATCAAAAATTTGGAGGCCTTGGACCTAAGCCCTATTAACCCTTATATATTATCAATGAAGGATCTACAGTATATACTATATATTAGAATAGAGGAGACTTTTTTAAAAGTTTCCTCTACCTTTATTATAGTATTTAGTATTATATATAGTATAGTATTATAGTAAGAAGTTTTAAGGGAAATAATTCATCAGAAAGTAGTCATATATATTTGTTTTTTGAGTAATGTTTAGTTTAATAATGAGCATCGAGAGGGCGCTGTTTTTTACTTTTAGTACTAATTTGTTTTAAATATTTAAATAATAATATATATATTTTTTGTTTCTTTTTTGTATAATTTTAAAATCAAATATATTAAATAAATTTAAAATTCAAAAAGTAAAATTATTTTATATACTTTCGATTTTTTCCTCCCCTTTAAGCCTATACAAACATCGAATAACTGTTTAATGTTAATCCATTGTATCGGCCTTGGTTTTGTTTCCTCTAAATGTAATAAATAGTAAAAACTGGCCCGAATATAAATACTAAATCTGCATTTAATGGAAATAAGACGGGAGGGAAATCAACTTACTCCGGGTTAATAGCAGCACCATGCAGTTCTAAAAATTCTAACGACGAGGACGTCCTCTTGACCCAACAACCTGTCAATGGCAGACGAAGAAATCTCCCAAATGCCTAACGCCAGATGGCGCCCATTAAAATGGAAAATCATAATTAAATTACCGATGATTAATTCGCGTGATGATAAAGCGTAATTATTTGACTAACACGGAGTTTCTTTTTAAAAAAATATATATATATACTTATAAATAATCACTTACTGTTAATTGAAGTTTCTTTTAAGTGGCCGCGTGAAAGTGGGTCGCGCTTCCTTCTGAAGGGTCCCGGTTACCCGCTGATAGTTTTACAATTAGTTATATTCGTATAAATTGTTTTTGTGTATAATAATGACTAGCATTTACATCAGAATCATATTTAGAGGCGGGTATCCTGGACACGTGTAGTCTCCACAGAAAACATAATTTAACACAAAAATAGACTCCCTATGCCCCCGCGTACCCGACAGTTCGCGGGGCGAATAGAAAAATATCTCGAGTCAAATATACATAAATCTATCCCTATTTACAGATTTAATTCAAAAGCATTAAAATATATTAAGTTATTGTTTCTAAGTGTACGTGTATTTGATAAGTATTAAATACAGTTTCAACTGTTTCGTGCTGTATTTTGAACGATGTGGCTCCTTTATTACACGTGACTTATGTAATAGTAATTGAATTTATACAGTGTCGTATCATCAAATTACTGTATCAGCTTTGAGATCAACTGTTTTCTACAGATATAGAAGGACGAGGGAATAAACACCATACAATTTTATGCCTTTTATTACGCACACTAATCCGATTTACGTGTGCATCCTGTTCCAGTCGGGTAACCAGAAATAAAATCATGGAGGCTGGTCGGGGCAAACTGAAAGATGTCGGCCTCTCCTCTAACCAAATTACTTTGAGTTTTCAATTCTTTATTAGACTTAAAAATAGCCCGATAAAAATTCGGCCGATTGTTTGGTTATTGATGCTCTCATACATATTAGTTTTAAAAAACAGGATAGAAACGAAGGCATTAATTTGTGCTTAGTTATTCCAGTTTATATAGGTTATAAATATATAACAAACTAAAGCAAGTTATTGTATAAAATTTGACATTCAAATGAGATACAAGGGCCAACTATTGTAAATTTTATAGAAAAGTTAAATTTTGAAGCCAGAATTAAAGGACAAAAGTCAAGATTTTTCCATTTATAAATCCAAATTTTTTTTTTGACAAAAGGAAGAATTTAACTTATACTTTGCTCTCACCAATATCAGCAACATTGCAATTTACTAATTAGCTAGGTATGTCTAATATTCCCTTTAATTATAATTATAAATAAAAATCACTAAACAGTAAGGAAAAAAACTGAACAGTATAATAAATTTAACACATTTAAAGCTGCTAGTAAATATAAAGTTTGACAAAAAGGTATTTTGCTTTCTGTTTAGATTTTTTCAGAAACTTTTGGCAAGTACCACTTCAAAAGTCTGACTTATTTTGGTACACAGTCACAAATACAATTTCAACATATCTGTAGTTAAAATTAATCCAATTCAAGTGTTTAAATTGTCTAATCTGGATTAGATGAAAAGATAGCAACCTTTAAATATGTACAACGCTTTACATATTTAAAGAGACAATTTAAACTGTAGGAATATGTTATTTATTATGCAGCTATGTTCTGTGTACCATCCTCTACATTTAAGAAGTACCATTAGAGGTTACAATGTGCCACAATGAAATTTGATCTGTGTGTGATGACCAAGAAAATGTAAATACCACCATTTGTACATTGTTTCTACTTTTGTTGTCATTCTTATTACAATTCTGCTGTTTTTCATTTTAATTAATAAGAATGACAAAAGCAGAAACAATGACCAAGAGAATGTCAATATCCCCATTTGTGCATCACACATGGATCAAATTTCACATCCACGTACCATACTTTGGAAACCAAGAATACAATCCATTGGCGCACACACTACTAGATGTAGAAAAACTTCATTTAAAACAAAGCACAAACACAGAAGAACATTTTTAAAATTCTTTTAATTTTATAACATTTCAGTTACATCCATATAATTTTTCTAATAATTTACTTCAACACTAAATCTAAGCCAATGTAATGTGTTTATTGTGATCTATAATAGCACTTCTATTTTCACTACATCTCAAACTGATACTTGGAAGACATTTTGTTGTTTGGAAGACAACAGCTTACTTTGGTCATATATTCATCCATCAAATACATAAATATTTGAGACTATGGAATGTTAAAACATTAAAAACACCTATCTTTAAAACTTCCATTGACACTTTCCCTACAGAATATAGGTCTAAACGATAATGCTTGATGTTGGAATCATTTTAATAAGTGAAAAAAATAAAAATTTTGAATGATCTATGATCAGTCTGCTGTAAACTTTGTGCAGGAAATGAAGTAGTAATGCATATGCTACAAAATGCTTCTATAATGAGACAGATAATGTGAAGAGACAATAGGAGTGTCTTATTAGAAATTTAGTCTCTGACAATTGAGGAACACAGTCTCTTCACAAAGTTATAGCAAACCCGACTGTAGAAAGTTTAATCCATTACAGATTTTAAATTTACACATCATTTAATATTGTTTCAAAAATTTAATAATATCCAAATATTCTGCAAAAGGGAAAGTATTAATATGTAAATAAAAGAATGTCTCTAGGTTTAATATGCCAAACAATAAATCTTAAAAACTTCTTTTATGTCCTTATTTAAATTCAAGGATCAAGTTAGGTGTTAACCAATAAAATATTCACTTACTAAAAGTAAAGTGAATTATAATTGGTTACCTTCCAACTTCTGGTCCTTCATTGTGAGTATAGCCGATAGTAGCCGACGAGAAAGGTCCAAAAATGATGAAAAGTAGCAGTTATCTACATGTAAAATGGCCAATGAGCAATGGTATGTTTCATATTTTGGAACCTTTGTTTTAAAGTGATTATTCCTTTTGAGTTTAAAGACTAATGTCAAATTAAAAATGCAATGAACCAAAATTTAACGTTTTAATATGGTTGTAATTTAAATCTAATTTAAACAGTATTTTTGTATCGTTCTAATTAGTAATAAAACTAAACTGAGCAATAGTCAGCATTTCAGCAGTGTAGTTAATTAACACAAATGACATGCAGACAAAACATACCCGTTCCTTAGAGTATTTGCATAACAGTGCAGTGCATAATTTGTCTAACAATTAAATTCTGAATATAATTCATTTTTCTTCTTAAATTCATCAACAAAATTTGATCATTTTCATATATCATTTTTTAAAAAAGAATTAACATATAAAATTTTCATACTTACAAAATAATAATAATAATAATAATAAAATATATAGGGTCTATCACAATTAAAATTAATAAAATCAGTGATAATTAAATAAAAGTTTAAACATTACAATAATTATATTCTACACAACAACATTAAATTTCTTTTTAAATAATAAAATTACATTAACTTATGATTTCTGCTATACAAGATGTTTTCGGATTCTCGATATCGTCTTTACTTTGAATGAGTTTCAATTCCAACTGAGCGACAGTTGGAGATTGATTCGGACCCGAAGCTTCTGCAAAGATTTAAGAAAAATTAAAAACATGGATATTGATTACAGTGGCGTAGCGAGGGGGATACAAGGGGGGTGTATCATGCACCGAGTGCCACTCGCAGAGGGGTGCCCAAATGGTCTCCCAAGACAAACTGTTTCTGGAGGGGGAGGGGCGCCAGTTATGTTCGCTATGCCACCGATTGATTAGCGATTCTTCTTAAAAAGCTAATAAAAATCATCCCACGAGATTATATAAATATATAAAAAAAATAATTTGCATTTAGATTTTAATGAAAAACTTCCAAAGTAAATAAGACAACAAATATTTTAACTTTTCAGTATACAGGCAACATAAAACTCATTCATATTTAAAGATCCAAAGAACTGCAATATAAGTACTTTAAAAATTTATTTTCTAAATTGTTAACAGTAAATTTATAAATGGCAAAGAAATACTACCTTATTCCAAATCATTGATGTTAAAAATTATTTAATTAAATACAAATCGTGAAAAAGCAAGTTAGCATATAGAGAAAACAAAAAAAAAATAATGATTGAAATAATAATTAAACAAAATATATAATCCTCATTTGAATTTTATTTAAAGAGTCCAGCAATGGAAAAAAATAAAATATCAGAAAACACTTCCTGTGGATATGAAATTCTTGAATTTAAAATTTGAAGAGCGTCAATAAAAAAACTGAAAACATTAGAAGATTAATAAGTTTTTTCATAGTGTGGTTATTTAATGTAAGTGCAGTATCCAAAGTAGTTGGCATAAAGATCAAAAATATAGGAGGTAGATTATATCACTTGGCACAATAACATTTATCATGCGCTCATTTTGTTTGCAAACCACTAACATCTAAACATTATCAATTAAACAAAAACTTGGTTCTAGTGTTATGTTAAAACAATCCCAAACTGAAATTTCTCTTAATAGCCAGGTACATATGTTTGTTGATCATTAAAATCCATTAAACAGGATTAAGTTGTATTATTCAATATAAAAAAAATCATGTTATGACATGTCTAAAGTATGCAAAAATTTAAATAATAATTCCAGCCATCCATAGAAAAATTTTTTAATACTGATAATATATATTTAAATTGATTTTAGAACTAGGATTAATTTTAAAAATTTTATTACTCTAAAAGAAAGATTAATATGATCTTGGGATGCAATACTTATTAAAAACAATTAAAAAAACATCTTACCAACAGCCCACTTATAAGTTCTTTTTAAAATATCTTGAAGAGTGCTCATAGTTTTCTCACAGGCTTCCTGATTGTTAAAGTTTTTTAAAACTTCAAGAACAAAATATATATAAAAATTTCTCTTTAAAAAGTATTCACCTTTAAATTAAAGTTAGATTTTGTTAGCCAAGCAGACAAGAGTGCTGTATAAAGGTCTCCAGTACCCAAGAAATTTGCAGGAATGCGAGAGATTTTCAACTTAACTGCCGTTCTCTTTCCATCTGAACAAAAAAAGAAAAATTTAATAGCAGTAATACCATACATAAATAAATCAAAATCCA